TAGGCCGTCGTTTGCTGAGGACGTCATTGTGGTTTTGTTGACGCTAGAGGTGAGGTCCTTGTTGACTGAAGAGTACTTAGCCTCTGTGAATCGCATTATAGGACTGCCAAAGAACGGAAGTTCAATTTTGACTCTTAGGGGTGTGGACACAGGGATGTTTATTGTGAGACTGAACTGAACTTTGCGCCCAGGAAACTGCCAACTTGTAGATCTTTCAAGGGCAAAACTGAAATCTGAGGCCTGGAGAAAGAACAGAAATGTTCGTTGACACATAACTGCATATACTGAACCGAAATGCAAACTGATTGGAAGCACTTGCTCAAGGCTTGTTCACTGAATTGTGTACTGACTTCACTGTAACTTTACGTCCGTTCCTTTTGGGCTAACTTTGGCAAGTTAAAGAATGCTTTGCAGACCACCAGTATCTTTTGAGAGACGATGTGCTTGAGGAACTGAAGGTTTTTAGAACTCCTTGAAAATTAATGAGCTAATTGCATGCAGTGGATGCCACTTCTATGTATTTCTGTGTAATGAAATTGTTCTTTTAGCAGATTAGCCGTCTTTAATAATAATACTGAGATTTCCCACAATTGCTTTCCAATGTCTAATTTGCCAAGAAATATATGATCATATATGTATTCTCTGTCATTGTTAATTTAGTATGTTGATGTTCGTGTATCTGTTTGACTTTATTGTTATGTTTCAACCCTATTATTGAAACTTGTTTTGACTTTTCCTTCCCGCCTCGATTAGCTATAGGCTACTTTGCGGGCAAGGATTAATTATGGCATGGATCCAAAGTGTTTTTAATAACTTGAAACTTGAAACTTAAAACTGTCACTCTCACTTTCAACACTAGGCTATGTGAAAAATCTTTCTTGAAGCTATGAAAATGAGTTTTATTGACATGACAATAAAAATTATTTTTATATCTATGACTTTGCACTTAGCGTCCTTTTGAAGCAGAGGCCTAAGCTAGCTCGGAAATGGCCTATCCGCTGTGTTTGATTGCCGGCCGATTGCTTGCCTTACTTCTGCAAATTAACAGTGATGGTCTCACAGCTGATTTTTGTTGTGGTTTCAATAAACTTTTTTTTTTCTGAAGCACTCAATATCCAAAGAAACTACGGGCTCTGGGAACGAGAATTTTTAAGTCTATGACGCATTTCCAGTCCTGGCACGTTACCTAAGGTTATGTCCCCGTCTGATTTTCGTACCCAGGCTTTTCACAGAAAATTGAGTTTAGTTTGCGTTTGACGCCTCATACATCTTTTACTTGACTTACTCTTTTTGATCACAAATTAATAATTTTTTTTAGGTTGTTACACGATGGTTCTCTGTCACGGTGGGCGACTCCACATTCTCCAGATTCTTTCCTGCTGCTATTGACGCTTAAATTAGTACATTACTCTTCAAAGCGTTGGAAATTTTTGTCCTAGTTGATGGGAAAAGTTCCTCGGTTTCGCAGCACAAACTCCTCCATTATGTCAATGTTTATCGTATTTTCAGTAGTCATTTCGTGGTGGTTTCACTCATATAAATCAATACCCAACAAAGCGCTTATTTCGCTCATTTATGAGGTTTTCATCAAAGGCTACCTTGATAGCATGGCATTTTCTTCTCACTTTCAGCTCTCTA